AACTCTTAAGTTGAAAGCTGATCGTACATTAACCTCGCAACTGAGATCCTTTACCACACGTCATTTTGCTTTATTCCTTTGTAAAAGTAATTGAAATTTATGAAGGGATGCAGTTATGCGCAAAGTTACTTTTCTGATAATTTATGCAAGGTCTTAACACTGTATGTGGATGTATTTTGAACTGGATTATAAATGCTCCAGAAGTCCACTATTCGCTATGCCTCTACCCTTGAATCATAAACCAAGTGTCACGTTCACAGCAGCTGGATCAGGTAATGACAAACTGAGGTATCGAATACTAGCTTATAGAGCCTCTCATTGTACTGTGCAGTGCGGCTGTGAAAATCGCTAAGAACCCAAAGACAATCGACTAAATGGGTTATGGTAATCAGGGTACAGAAACTGGCGAAGCTTTTCTCTTAAAAACGTTGTTCTGCAGAACAATACCCTGGCTTCACAGCCTTCTTTACGGGCATGAAACTGCCGTCCATTTCTATCTGTGAATACCTAAGTGTCAAATTACTGCTTAAGTGTAAAAATATAGGTAATATTAATTTGTTTAACTTCACGTTTCTAGAATAAGTAAAATATGCTAATTTGTTTTTCATCCTTCCATCATCCAACAAGAATTTACAGAATGTCTTATGCGTCTTGCCATTAGCTTTTCGTGGCCATGTTTTGAATGAAAATGGCATAAACTGATACAAGAATGTGAATAGTCATCTGTGTGGAACGACCTGCTTAAAAAGTTGAACTTCTTATCTTTGGTACTGGTTAGGGACAGTATCTTTGAACTCGCAGTTCCGTAGAATAAACTGATAGGAAGGAAGCAACTTACTTTTCAAGTTACGTCCTTGAAGCCTAAGGACGCTACTGCTGAAAAGGTGGAAATATAATACTGTAAACTGAAAGGACCTCGATTTACTGTAATTATGTTGTCATACGGTAGATTAGCCTTAATCAAAAGCATTTAATTTCTACATAAAGCGAGCTCTCGAAAAGTAGTGCAAACCAATAGTAGTTCAACAGTGCATAAATGTATGTGCTTCATGGGTATCGAAAAGCTGATATACGCATGAAGGATGTGTACCAATGACGGACAATGTTTGACTCAAATGTAAATATACATTGTGTTTGTTTCACAGGTCATTTTGCGGTTCAAAGTGTGTTAGAAAATCTCGTAATTGCTGATTCGATATCGATTCTTTACCTCTGAGAAGGTTGTTACACCAGGTCATACCTCGGTATTCCTAAAATTGGGAAGGAAACGATTTCTTGCTGCCATTTCTACCATGGAATCAGTACGTTGGGCTTAGAGCGTTGAACTAAGAACCGAGAGGACACGCGTTCGGACTCCGATCAGAGCTACTCATGTTTCTTTCTTCCAAGCTGGATAAGTGAGAACCACACTGTGGAAAGGAAAGAGGAGACTAAGCGCTATGCTTGCCATAATAGCTGCCTACAAATAAGTCTTAGAATTAGAGACCAGCGCTACATCATAAGCTTGAGGAAAAAAAGACGCAAGAAATAGTCCTTCCTCCTAGTGCAAGGGAGGCAGAGCTGCTCAATCTCGTGTCTCAAACAGACGCCTGTGGAACCCTTCCGTTGATTTAAAAGTCATTAATACATTGTAGGAGCAGTTCGACTCGGGATATACTTGCTGGTCTGTTAATTGGTTAAATAACTGCAAGGGATGTAAGAGCTCTTCAAAATTATAAATCGGATGCATGACATCTCTCTGGCAAAAAGATAGGTCATTCGAAAACTCGCTTAACTTCACTATACCTCAGGGAAGCATGCCCTGAACTTCTGCTCAGTCATAAGTCCCTGTGACAAAAGAAATCAAAGCCAACGAGCTGGAACTACAGCACAGACCTCAAACACTGTCCTCTGTTTCCCAACGTTTTTGCGACTACAATCAGAGTCACTCTGCGCCATTTTATTACTTTAAACGATCGTATAATGAGGGATTAAGATTTAAAGATTAACTTGCCTGAAATATGCTGTCCAAAAAGACGAACGGTCGGAAATTCGACGAAAGTTGATGAGGCGTGTGCCCGTCATTTGTTGTGGCACGACTCACAAATAGAGACTGGGCGAATTCAAGCATTTTGACGCAGCAGCGTTGCAGAGTAAAAAATGGAGCACGACAAACCGCCCCGTTCCCTGGTTCTGCAGTTGCCCTCTTTTGCCCTTCGTCCTTTGGTCGGTAGCATTCAGACATCACAAGAAAAAGGGAGGGAGATTAATCACCGCCTGCCGGATGAAACCGATCCATTTGGCGATCAGCGTAGCTTCGCACTAAGCGGGACAACTTTGCCGACGAATGCGAGTCCGCCGCCCATCTGACTGCCGGCCCGATTATGGCGACCAGTCGTACAAGTTTTCATACTTTCACTTTTTGTCAATAAACGTATCGATTTCTCCCTCAGAACTTGGAAACGATCTAAATTATCAATTTTAGACTCAAAATTCACCGCCATCAACCTTGCCACGGATTTCCGTTATGTTTCCAAACCAGAACCGTAATCATTTCACGTCCATAGCTAAATCGAATGCTTGCATATCCGTTGCGTTGATGTCACACGCCTTCTAAAAAAAAAAGCATGGTTTTTACATGAGCTCGGTTTTGGGCACTAAAAGAAAGATTTTCACAGAATGTGTGGATCCAGATTAAGTCCAGACGATGCTGGTAAAGCCATGTTGAGGCATGGGAGGGCCGGAAATAAGTCGTTGCTTTAAGATCATAAATCAATCATTTCAGAAAAGCGAACGAGATATGTACATTAGATAACCGTTTCTTGTTCCTAATTATTCAAATGAGGTGTCAAATTGGTTCATTTACATTGTATTTCCATCCTCGAAGCGAATTGCTGATATTTTTAACTCATTCCTTTACTTGTACGCTTTGAAGGTTACTCATGCCTTGCTTCACTCTGAAACACAACGTTGCTTTATACGCAGCATGGCGGAAACCCTGATGGCACTTAGTCTGTTTGGCTGATTAGACTGCAGTCCAGTGAAGTCCTTCCTCAGGATTAATCCAGTCCGTAATCCAATCCGTAGTCCTTACCAAATAATTGACATGTAAAACAGGTAAGAAATTGCTCTGAGTGCAGATCTGCAAGGCGATTGGCATCAATTTAATCAATCAATTATAATTATTTTTTCTGACGATTCTTCGGTTCTGATTGGTAGAATTTTTCAGTCTTAGCACTTCTTGTTTCCATGCTTCTTCACCATAGGTTGAAGATCTTAGCTGTACGAAACAGCAGAGGCTGATTTTCACCTTCAGGAGAATAAAATAATGGAATTGATTTCTCAACCATTCACCAGGACTTCAAATTGACTATGCTAATGTGGCTCAAGTGGCAATATCAGCGTAATTTTTACAACGTTACTACCTCATTAACTGTTGCTGTCTCCTACCGTACACCACCAATGAAATTAAAGCGCATAAAACACCTTAAGTTTAATGTTTGATCATAACCAAACAGAGGTCTGCAATGTCCAAAATGAATGGCTTAATAAAAAGCAAAATATAAATCTGGGGATCTGGGGCAGCTACCAAGAATGGCAGCCAGTTATAAGAATAAATAAAAACAAGTGACTAAGTTAGTTAATTGATAAATCAATGCATCAGTAACTGAACGAACTAACAAACGACGGAATCAACAAATGAATGAATAATGAAGTACAACGCCCCAAGACCAGATCTCATGACATATTGCACGGCCCCCTTACTCTTAGTGATCTAGAGGCCATTTAAGAAGGCCCCGGCTTCATGGCATTTGGGCCGAGATACATCTCAAATCATGATCTTCGCTATGGGCACCTCGCGTTCATTTTTTCTTTATTTCATAAACTGTTTTGTAATCCAACCTCTTCCTCAGATCCGGAAGAACCGAAAAGCTTAAGAACATTGGGACGCAGCAGAGGGAGGACATGCGATATAGTGTATAATCCTCACAAACTAGAAACATTCACTAAAGTGATCTTTAATGAACGTGTATAAGGATATTTGCTTTAATGACTCTATTCATGGACAGCGTGAATGACAGACTGATGTTTGATCACAACACCGTGTCCAAATTCTAGAAATGACCCAATTGTAGCTCGATAGCAAGTGGGAATCTATTCAACGTTTTAATGTGCTCATGAATCGCCTCACAGTGTTAAAAGTTATATGTACCTCATATTGCAGAACCAGTTGAAAGCAAACGATCCCATGAAAATTGGAAAAAGACTAACAGCAAATCGCTCTGTTTACTGCGTATTAGTAACAAATTAAGTGTACATATCCGCTCATTTATGGAACCTTCGTGAAACTCAATTGCGAGCACTTCTGTTTCAGACGGTTCAAATTTTCTAACTTGCAAAATTGGACACATGACAGATTTTTTGCTCATCCAGACCTCTATTTACAAGAACAGCAGTAAATGTCATCCATTGTTTACAGGGTTTCAGAGGATTGACAAAATCATGTACAGTTCTGCCATTAGTCTTTCACTTATTACCCCATCTTGCAAATAATGCTGGCCAGAATTGCGTTTTGGCATTTCTAAATATCACTTGTTGAACGTCATTTTGAACTGCCATTCAGATCTTAGTTTGGTTTTGGTCCAGTTCACGGTCATCATCATCAGTTCAGATTTGCAAAGATATCACGAAGGTCATTTTAAGAATTCAAATGGATTGTATTCCCAGCCCTTCATCTGCTTAAAGTCGATCAAGTCAACTGAAGGCCGTAAGACTGTCGTCCGTTTGCTACCGTATTCACTTACAGGTGGAAGTCAGCTGCGGCTGGCTAATCGAATCGGCAGCTCAAACGTCCTTGCAGATGGTCTCGTCTGTAGTAACTCCACAAAAGCCATTAGCTTGGCCGTTTTCGCTGTCTACTGGCGCATGCCGACGTCGATCATCAGAAATTTTCAATTTGACACTTGCCACCATCCTTTGTTCATAAATCACGCCCCCTTCATAACGCATTTGTCGTCAGTCTGTCAAATTCAGTTTTCCCGCACCCGACCTACAAAAGCAGTGTTTGGTCTGGGCATGATTGGACGTTGACCTTTACTCTCATGAACGAAGGAACTGTGAACCCATGAGGTGATACCTACAGATTGGTAATGCCGCATCTGTACCTCCATCTATATCATGGTTAGTTGGGATGCATACCCGCATCACTTCTTTTGTTCTACCGCTTCCTTGAATACCTCCGGAAACTAAAGGTCAAGGGAACGGTTCAATGCACCGTGATAACTGGCCTTGAATGATGTATGTAAAAATTATATATTGTGGATATACTGTCGAAAGTGGCAAATCGTCTATGCCACATCGTCTGGCACACTCTTGGTGTCGACCGAAACTGAGGCACTATTCAGTACAAATCTGTTATAGGTCAGTCTTACTGCGCTATCGTTCAGCCTACTCCTAAATCTGCACTTCTGCACTATTTACGATAGATTTTTGCTTACACCGTTGTTTATGTGTGATAAGGTCAAATCGATTAACCTGTTACCGATTTTCATTAAACAGTGGATCCCAATATTGAACAGATTATCATTTTAGATGATAACGTATTTATGGTTTTTGTATGCACTGTAGAAGCTTAAATGCCATTAAGCCATTGCCTGCATAGGTGCTACTAAGCAAAGGGTGTTGGAATTCGCCGCAAAATTTCGTTTTCTCAAATTTTTGCATCCAGTGGAATATGCATAATTTTATTGATTGTGAATAAACGTGCACAAAATATAGTAAATTCTTCTACCAACTATCGTATTTAATCGAAGATGCCGTAGAATACTGTACAAGCATTTTCCTCTGAATTAAACTGATACATGCTTATGGTTACATGCTTAGTGTCAGTCATTTGAAAGCCATGGCAAATTTAACGAATACTCTCTCAGTTTGTAGAAGGTCTAAATTGCAGTCGCTTGCCACCAGGTTTCGCTTTCAGTAAACATTTCGCAATGCGACTATTGTCTATTCGCTGGCCTCACTGGAATTGCCTCACAATTTTAAATTTCCTGTGTGCAGCCAGTCAGTCACTTTGGTTGTATATTCCTCTCTCTCTCTCTCCCTCTCCCTCTCTCTCTCTCTCAGTGGTATCAGCCACCCGATCGCATATTTTCAATCCTAACGTTCCTTCCAGTGTTCTGTTTAAGCTTTGTTAAATGCTGCCGTCTCAAGGTCGTGGAACAAGATGTTAAGAATGCAAGCCCTGTGTATCCGCGGCCTTTTCCTTCCAGCGCTTGAATAACTTTTGTTCCCTGCAAATGCCAACGCACAACGCCTCTTAGCCTCGTTTGCCACTCGTCTGTCTGCACTCAATGCCAGTCAATGCACTGCCAAGTTACAAATATTCTGGTACTGTTTCCACGAATTCAATGTCAAGGGTCAGACAGTCTTTCGTCTGGGTCTGCCAGTTTCCATTCCCTTTCTGTTCTTCACGCTAATCGAGGGACCCAGACCAAAACACCTGTGTTCCGAAGTTTGAAACAGTGATGTCTCAACTTTGGAGTTGTCTGCAAGCAATATGATATCATCTTCAATTTTTATTTCAGCATAGTTTACGTTGATGTCGGCACTCCTTCCTATTGGCTGGAGCATCCAATCAGGAAAAACTCCAAACAATAGCGGAAATTCAACTCCTCCTTTGCCTGGACCAGATTTTGTATGAAAGAATTTACCCGGCCGGTCATTAAATCACATCTCACTTGACGAAGGATCATACTTATTCTTAAGTATGCCAAAATTCTTCTATGGTATTCAGTATTGTTCACCCACTTTCCATAAGGTGTCTCTCACGATTGATTTGGACGCTTTAGTGAAATCGATGAATGTTGTGAAGAATTTGGATACGTATTCTCTCTTCTATTCCTTTTACTGTGTCAGGATGAATATCATGTCCAAACATCTTCTTCCTGCCCGGAATTCAGACCGTTCTTCACCAACGATCTTTTCAAGAGGTTGTCTAATTCTGCTCACCGTAACACACATGAACACTTTGTGAGCAAAGTATAGTGTGCAAAATAATAAATGCAAATTATTTGGGACCAAAACTTAGTAATCAATGGCTACTGTAATAATAAATCTTTCGCAACTGGTTCCGTCATTCCTTTAAAGCAGCTAAACTTTTTGCCCATGCCTGTCAAGGCAATATTCGGTAGTCAGACATTTCAAGGCTCATTCAGTTTACAACCTCCATAATTTGCAGCAACATTGCATTTATTCATATATTGTGCTTAATCTTCTCTCTCTTGTAAGCGTTTTGGTGATTCATTTTTCTGTTAACAGTTGAAAATCAGGTTCATTTGTGTTGTAGTCAACGGCATTTGATTTTGTCA